CCGGGTTCGAATCCGGGTAGCGACCGAAAAATTTTCTTCTCTAAAATTGTCTCCTTTCACCTCCTTTCCTGCTCTCTAGCAATATTCTTTAGTCTGCTTTCGTCTCCTCTTTCTGCTCACACCCCTTCACATCCTTTGCCTCCTTCTGTGGGCTCCTGACTCTTTCTGCAGCCTTTCTTCTGCTACTCCTTGACTCCTTCTTACAGCTGTCTTTCTGCCACACCCCTGATCTTGTGGTAGGAAAGATCTACACCTAGCCTTCTCGGACAAGGGCGAAAAATCTCGGAGGGCCCACGTGCAAGTTGCGCATGTTAAAGATCCTCTGGTGGTCTAAAATCAAAAAAAGAGTGGGCTTTGGCCGCCACCCGGGCAAAATTCAAAATTTCCTACCAACTAAAAAGTATTAGCGTGTGTCCCGCGCGCTCATATGACCTTATACAGTTGCGAGCGCCGTTAAACCTTCTACAATAAAAAAAAAAAAACAACAACAAAAAACTGATTGGACAATCCGGGTTGGAAACTGACAGGAAGGGCAAGCCTGCCACTTAAATGATGTAAAGTGTCGATGGTGATGTAAAACACCCAGGCCTACATTAAAAGAAAGAAAGAGGTTTAAAAAAAATAAAAAATAAAAATTGAAATTAAAAGTGGGAGAGTCAGAAAAATGACTGTCTGTGGAGTTTTCAAGTATTTCCACAGACGTGGCTCGGAATTCTTCGAGATGTGTCAGAGACGGATTCTCTGGAGGCAAATGAGTTTCAACTTTCCTCTGTTGGACCAAAAAGACAGAGTTTGTTTCTCGCCTGTTGGTGGTTATTTTAATGAGTATCACATTTTTCTCTCGACGTACAGTATCCCAATATCAGGGATTGGTCCGGGTGAGAAGTTTTGAAACGTTCCGTCTTTTAGATGGTGTAAACGGTTTCAGTGGAGACGCACGTGGTGTACAATTATCTATCAAATGCCTTCATATAAAACAACACTTGCATATGATAAAAGAACGATAGTTTACTAAAAGTTAACGAAGTTTTTCTAAATATTCAAGTGTAAGATAAAAATAGAAATGATACAATCAGAAATGATAAGAAGTTTTGAAGAGGTCTGGCTCCTAAATTGTAAAGTGTATCGATGGATGCGCAAGTGGAGCACAATTATACATGTATATCAGATTAATGGCTTTACAAAAATCAACATTGATTTATAATAAAAGAATAACAGTGTACTGAAAGTTAGA